TCAAGCTTTAATGAACTCAGTATTTAGACCTTTTCTTCGAAAGTTCATCCTGGTCTTCTTTGATGACATCTTAGTGTATAGCCCCTGCATATCCACACACATCCGCATTTACAACTAACTTTTCAGATTTTGCAGGAACACGAGCTGGTGTTAACAAGAAAAAATGCTCGTTTGGCCAGTCTAAGCTGAATATTTGGTCATATGGTTTCAAAAAAAGGAGTAGAGGCAGATCCGAAAAAGATTGAAGCCATGGTATCCTGGCCGCGACCGTGAATGTGAAGGACTGAGGGCTTCCTTGGGTTGACAGGTTATTATCGGAGGTTCGTAAAAGGGTACGGATCAATCGCGCAGCCCCTTACTCAGTTACTAAAAAAAGATTCCTTTATTGGGATGATCAGCTCAATCAGCTTTTGATAGGCTCAAGGAAGCCATGACCTCCGTACCAGTCTTGACAGTTCCAGATTTCACACGGCCCTTTGAAATTCAGACCGACGCATCCGGCAGAGGTCTTGGGGCTGTTTTGGTGCAACAGGCTCGACCTATAGCTTTCCTCAGCAAGGCATTCTCCCCACAGCGAAGCAAAATCAGTTTATGAGCGGGAATTGATGGCCATTGTTTTTGCAGTCAAGAAATGGAGTCATTATTTACTTGGCAGAAAATTCGTAATCAAGACTGACCAGCGCAGCCTCCAGTTTTTAACGGACCAAAGATCAAAAACTCCAGAGCAACACAAATGATACCAAGCTGATGGGTTTTACTTTTGAAATACAGTACTATCCAGGGGCTTCCAACCGAGTGGCAGACGCTCTTTCAAGAAGGGAAGAGGGGACAATTGGCACACCTTTCAGCCTTATCTACGGTACAATTTTCAGATATGAGGAGATGGCCTCGGAGGCACAAACAGTCCGAAACTCAGGGAAATCATTCAAGACCTTCCCAGGATGCTTCCATCGACCCAACTACTTTCTCCGCAGGGGCTGCCTATTTTAAGGACAGGCTGTTCATTCCAAAAAGGTCTAGATTTGTGTCCAAAATATGGCTGAGTTCCATCAGAGTCCTAGTGGAGGCCATTCAGGTTTCTTCAGAACATACAAGAGATATCTGCATTAGTTTTATGGGAGGGCATCCGGGGAGACATACAAACTACATTAAAGCTTGCGTCACCTGTCAAATTAATAAACAGTCATCATTAAAACCTACTGGACTCCTCCGCCCCTTCCCATTCCGGAACAGGTTTCTGAGGATCTCTCTATGGATTTCATCGGGGGACTGCCACGTTCGAAGGGAGTTGATCCTATTTTGTTGTTGTGGACCGCCTGACCAGTATAGCCACTTTTTTAGTCTTGGTCACCCCACAATGCAAAGGATGTCGCTGCCATATTCGTTAAGGAAGTGGTCCGATTCACGGGTTCCCGAACTCCATTGTTTCTGACAGAGACAACTCTTATAGAGTCAGTTTGGCAGGAGTTGTTCAAGGCTGCCGGCACCGTTCTGAAATTCAGTTCGGCTTATCATCCGCAACCGATGGGCAAACGAGGGTGTCAATCGGTGCCTCGAACGTATCTCCGCTGTTTCTGTAGTTCTCATCCGAAACAGTGGCCCTGTGGCTTGCTTGGGCCGAATACTGGTATAATACACCTATCATGGCTCCATCCGCATGACTCCCTTCAAGGCCCTCTATGGACGCGCCCCCTCCATCCTTTTAAAATTCACAGACGGCCCTTCAACCGGGAAGATGTCAATGTTCAATAACTGCCCGCAATGCCATGTTAAGGAGCTTAAGGACAATTTAGTCGTGGCTCAAGCTCGCATGAAACACATGCTGACCTCCATCGACGAGATGACTGCTTCCAGCCTGGTGACTCAGTTTTCCTGAAGTTACAACCCTACAGATTTAAGTCACTTGCCCAGAAAGTGAATGAAAAACTTAGTCCCCTTTTTATGGTCCTTACCCTGTGTGGAACGCTTGGACCAGTGGCTTATAAATTGGATTTGCCTCCCACAGCCCGTACATCCTGTCTTCCATATTCGCAGCTGAAGAGGATCTACACCAATCGGTACCTATCCAACCCTTACCAGAATCCCTCTCTGAAGACATGGAATTAATGGTTCAGCCAGACACAGTCATCTCTCTCGCGCACTCTCTTAGATGGGTCTAAGAAGTTCTCATCAAATGGCAGCACTTACCTGATTTTGAAGCCACCTGGGAACCATATGAAGTAATTAAAATGCAGTTTCCTCAGTTTCACCTTGAGGACAGGGCTCTTCAAGGGGGGGTATTGATAACCAGCAGTGCATAAAGTCTACAACCGTAAGGGCACAAAGACATTAGAAAGGTGTTAAGGGAGTAGGGACCACAAAGAATAGGTTGTCATGGATAGGAGTCTGTTGGAGAACACAAATTGTGTGTAGGGTATTGTGGAAAGAGGATTAGTATATATTCAGGGAGAGAGTATTATCAAGCACCTGGACTTTTGTTGATAAAATAGTGGAGGCTCCTGGCTCCTCGAAACGCCAGGGTTTATGTTCAGCTTTCTATTTTGCATTTGCTTCAGTTTTATTCAAGTATTTGACTAATACAAATATTGTTGGATTGCCCTTGCTGTTTCTGATATATTTTGGTTGTGATTGGTTGTATGTTGGTCTATTTTGTGTGAGAATTACTGTTGTTGGTTGTCAATTGATTAATCTGCAGGTGTTCGTATCAGCTTGTAACTATACTTTTTGTTACAGTTAAGAATAAACTAAAGCAATGATTTCTGCTCCATTTTTAGAGAACCCAGAGTTTTTTTTTTTTTTTTTTTTTTTTTTTTTTTTTTCCCCCTTTTAATTTTTTATTTTGGTAAGAAACATGAAACCAATTTATTGACTAGAAGCAATGATTATTTGTTCTTTTGTTTGCTTGAATGAATATTTTAAGTGGTTTAAATGAAGACTCTTAGTTAAATTTATTGTTGCTTTTCAAACATTTTAGGCTAGTGTTAAGAAAGTTTGGAGTTCGTTAGAGGAGGACATTATTCCATCACTGTCTACTGGTAGGAGTAACTGGCTGGAGCTACAGTCAAAGCTTATCTCTAAGCAATACAAAGAATCAACCATTTGTGTGGCAGGAGGTATGAAGGTGACGGTATTTTAAATGAAGTTATATATTTTTTTACCTTTTATTCTCAAACCATTATCTCCAATTTTGGTAAATGGTTGTCCATTTTTCTGCTTGAAAGTCTCTTCAGATTGGAGCTTCTGGATTGATTTATAATTATTTACTGTCTCACCGAGCTTGAAGTTATATGAACTTATGTTGTCTTTTCACCAAACCTTTGACCAACTTTTTGTTGCTCTTGAATATTCTGCCCAAAATTTTTTCTACCTTTTATTTTATTATAGTGGAACTGGGGGATATCTAGGCTTGGTGAACTAGTAACGGATGGCTAAATGCCTAAATTCCTCTTCTTTATTGTGATTTCCCTTTTAGCCCTAAATCAATTTATTTAAATTTAAATTATTTTATAATTCAATAATTATTTTACTAAAATATTGAGGATTAAATATTTTAAAATTTTAAGAAATTTCAAAAACTCAAAAATCTTCAAACCAGTCAATGCTAATCAAATTCACCGGATGGTGAATTTCTGTCAGCCGCTAGCATCACCACCAGCCGAGCGCTCAGCGTTGACGATCTGCCAAATCCGCCAATCTAGGCATATTCTGGCCGTTGAAACCGTCGTAACGTCATGGTGCCGTTTTCTGCGTCAGGTTTGCCAGATCGCCGTTCATTTTGCATGCGCTGGCAGTGACGCTGAAAGCGTGGGGCAAATTCTTCGCTGGCGTTTTGAACCGCGTTGACCGGTCTGAAATTTTTTAAATTTAAAAATTTTTGAATTTTGAAATTCCATATTTAAATAAAAATAAATATTTTATTTATAAATAAAATATTTTCTTTTCCTGAGAATTAATGCTAGACTTAGAAATTATGTAACAAATTCTTATATAAAAACTGACATGGTATAAATTAATGGAAGAGTGAATACTAAATGTCAATTCAATAAATGTTCAATATGATGTGTTGATAGAAGAGTAATGTTACATCAGTTTGTATATAATTTATTATATACATAGTTTTTATATGCAGTACTATCTTTCTTGAAATGAGCAATAATTTCTTTTCTTTTTTTTAAAATGCCTGCCGAAGGCATAATATTTGAATTACTATTCAAAATCTAAAGGATCAAAAATTATAGGAAAGTAGCGATCATACTACATTCTGGCTTAAATTCAACATCTATCTGCTGCCCAGGGCTTAGGGAAGTGCAAGTTTGCTTTGAAGATTTAGTCTTAGGAATTTCATCAGCTAGGTTATACATGTTTTGAAAGAAGATAAGATAAACTGCGAGTTTATGTATTTTTAGTCTTAATATCAATGATGATCTCCTGGTTCTTAGGTGGTTGGGAGACTGATAGAACACCACCTCTGTAACTCACACACTCAAGCAGCACAGTTCTATCTTTCAGACTAAAGCAAACCAAACCAGTAATCAAAACACAATTCAAATGAAACGTGTATATTGATAAAAAAAGATTAGAGAGAAACACTTTGGCTAATGTAAATGTACTACCTAACCGACCAAAATAAAGCTCAAAAGATAAAATGAAAGACATAAGAAAAATCAAAGAAACAGCTTAACGTCGAGGGCCAGCATCCTCCCTTTCCCTTTTTCCTTACTTTTCTGAATATTCCCTATTTTGACATTCTCCCCTTTTTAAATCCTCCAGCACTACCTCATAACAGAATTCCTTACGGTCCTTATATAATCTGTCCTCTACTATTCTTTCACACTTCACGCACCCACTTGTAATTCTCTATTTTGCACCCTTACCTTTCCTACTGTAGACCAGCACCTCATAGTCATGGGTTCTATCAGAGACTTTCTAAGTTACTGTTATATTGAAATAATTAGTAATTCTTGTGTCTTTTTTAATTTGTTTTCTTTATCCCTTTGCAGAACCAGTAAAAGTTAATATTGAATTCAAGAATCCTTTGCAAATCCCTATTTCCCTCTCAAGTGTTACTTTGATATGCGAGCTTTCTCCAAGATCTGATGAAACGAATATGGGTAAAATACTTTCAATTTCTCTCTTTTCTTTTTCCAATTTAATCTTGGCAAATGTGTGTATAGAAATTAGTAAATCGATATTTTGGTGCCACACAGATGCAGGTAACTCAACCATTGAGCTTCAGAAAGAGGAAGAATTAAAAAGTTCTACAACCATGGGGTATGTATGTGTGTATTGACAATTATTATTTCAAGATTGATTTGATTTCATGTCAACATGTTTATTATTTTTAATGTTGCATGCACATCTCTTTTGATTATGTTTGCTACTGCTATTTTAGCTGTTTGCTTGACTACTGCAGGGATATGAGTTCTGAAGTTTCTTCATTTACTTTATCTGAGGCTGATGTTCTGTTAGAAAGCGGTGAAGCAATTTTGGTGAGCTTATGATGTGTTTGTGTTTGAATTCTGCATGTCATTGATATGCAATCTCATTCTTAAATTTCAGTGTAATTTGGTGTGCAAGGTAGTTAGTGCACATTTTTATTTGATTTGTGAATTCATATGAAGAGGGATGTGACCGCTAGCAAATCAGCTAATTGCATGCAGTGCTGACGATTTTTGAACCATCTTTGTAGCTCCAAAATGTTTCAGTTTATGCTCCTACCTAGTTTGAAAGAAGCTAATTAAGATGAAGATGATTTTCTTTGGGATAGAGTTTTTATTTTATGCTTCTTTATGGTCTTCAGTTTCAAAAAAGTTCCAGATTACTTATTTTTTCTTCATTTTTAGAGATTGTTTGTGCACATGCTTGTACATGTATGTATGTTTGTATTGATGAGCATGATTCTTTTCCTTGACACCATGTTTTTTAGTTTTGGAACATTTTGTTCTTCACTTTTCATGCCTACAAAAACACTTAATGTTTTCAATTTTATTTACTTTTAGGTACAACTAACTGTTACTCCCAAGGTTGAAGGCATTTTGAAAATTGTTGGCGTTAGATGGAAACTATCAGGTTCTGTAGTTGGTCTGTATAACTTCGAGACTAATGTTGTCAAGAAGAGAATTGCAAAGGGAAGACGGGGAGCAAAGTCTTCTCCTAGCAATGACTTGAAGTTTCTGGTTATCGAGGTGCACACTCTTCCCTCTCCTCCCTTTATCTTTTCTGAAATTTGCTTCACAGACTGGGCTGGAGCATGCTTTTCTGTTTTTAATCCGTATTCCTCACTTACAGAGTCTACCCAAGCTTGAGGGCTTCATTCGTCATATACCAGAAAGAGCATATGCTGGAGATTTGCAGCACTTAATTTTGGAGTTAAGGAACCCATCAGAATTTTCTGTGAAGGTATATATTTGGCCATCTGAGTCTCAATCCAAAATGAGGACTGATGGCAATTTGTAACATTACTTTCCACTTTCCCATCTTTCTCAACATCAACATAATAAATTTTTCTCTAAAAGAAAGATAATAATCTCAGACTGCTGTGCATAGCTGAATTGTCTTAAAGACATTCATGTTTTGGGATGACTAATTCTGTAGCTTCATGTGTGAGGCAGAGCCTAATATTTTCTACGTATGTGCATGTCCTTCTGTGGGAACGCTTTGATATTTGCTTATAAAGTTTATGTCATGGATCCTAATATATGTGAGCAGAATTTGAAGATCAAGGTCAGTCATCCGAGATTCCTTTGTGTCGGGAAGCAGGATGAATTGATGAAAGAATTTCCTGCTTGCTTAGAAAAGAAGACAGTTGCTGAACAAAGTGGTGCTCTTGGTAACTCTAGTAAAAGGCCTCATGCTCTGTTTTTATTTCCAGAGGTTAGCTTGAAAGTTACTCTTGTGCATTTTCTATTGGCAAATTATGTCAAATTGTTGTCGGTCCATTTGTTGGTCTAATGCCTTCTATTTGTCTGTGTTCAGGACATAACAGTACAAGGCAACGCACCTTTACTGTGGCCTCTCTGGTTTCGCGCTGCTGTCCCTGGAAATATTTCCTTGTTGATAACAATATATTATGAGATGGGAAATATGTCAAGTGTCATAAAATACCGAACCCTACGAATGCGTTATAACATGCAGGTTTGTGCTTGAATATGGAAAGAGGAAGTTTGCTTGGTTTGATTTATTATCCTTTCTTGGTACTGTTATTTACTGGTGATGGCTTACACTCTTGCGAATCTTCTGTGGCTGATATGTCAAGAGATCTTTATTGTCGTAGCACATAAATAGACAAACATGATGTATAGTTTTCTTGGTGCTATGTGTTAAGACCTTTCCATTTGTGTTTCTTATAATATTCCATGCTTTCTCCTTTTCTTGTGAGAACAGAGTATTCTCACGTACGTTAATGATTCCAAATCCTATGCTAATTAAACTATTTCCTCTCAAATAAGCACCTACCCTCATGCTTATTGATTATGGGCCTGATCAGTGGTAATATATCTTATTCCTTTTTAACAGGTTTTACCATCATTGAATGTTGCATATCAAATTAGTCCCTGTCCATCGAGATTGCGGCAGTTCCTTGTGCGCATGGACATTTTAAACCAGACCAGTTCAGAGAGTTTCCAGGTTCATCAGTTATCAGCTGTTGGGCACCAGTGGGAAATTTCATTGCTTCAACCTTTTGATGTCATCTTTCCTTCAAAATCTTTATTTACTGGTCAAGCATTATCATGTTTCTTCATCCTTAAGGTTGATTCTCTTTATTTTTTTCCTCTTTATCTCTGCGTAAGAAATGACTGATTTTCTTTTGTTGTCTATATAAAAAAGAACAATTATAATCATTGTGATTTCTGTTATTAATGCATGATTGTCTGTATGTAACTACTATTTTGTTAACTTCTCAAATCTTAATAATCAAGGTGGTGTTTGGGTGGGTTGAAGCTGATCCAATCTCAGCATTAGCTGAGCTCCCTACGATTGGAGTTTTTCAATTTTGGGTTGAGAATTATTAAGCAGAACTTAGTTTTGGTTAAGCTAGTTGAGTCTTCTGCAACCCATCTTGACCTGTGATATTCATATGAATCTAGAGATTAGAATCATTATTTTCCTTGATGAAGGGATGGTTTGGTGCACTTGTAGTGTCTTAATTCTTCTTTGAATCACTTGTCTGTACAATTCAGAATATATTTGTTGATTAAACTAGCCCAGCCAGGCCTAAGCTGCTCTAAATCAAGCTCCGAAGATTAAGGATAGTTTGAGTTGGATGGGTTTGGCATGTTTTTGATGTGTGATTACTAGGGTGTGCCTAGCCGCCTCATTTGCAGCCGTAACTTGCTTCACCTTCTTCCTAATTTGTCAATGTCAGCATCAGATTCAAAATCATTAGTCCATGCATTAGTTTGTCAGAGCCGTACTTATGACTTTGAATTATATTCTTTATTCTAATATTACACTGTCTGCTTCAACTTCACCAATTTGCATTGTTATTGTTTGGTAACTAAATTTGCACCCTACCTTTCCTACTGTAGACCAGCCCTCATAGTCATGGTTTCTATCAGAGACTTTCTAAGTTGTTACTGATATTTGAAATAATTAGTAATTCTTGTGTCTTTTTAATTTGTTTTCTTTATCCCTTTGCAACCAGTAAAGTAAATATTGAATTCAAGAATCCTTTGCAAATCCCTATTTCCCTCTCAAGTGTTACTTTGATATGCGAGCTTTCTCCAGATCTGATGAAACGAATATGGTTAAAATACTTTCAATTTCTCTCTTTTCTTTTTCCAATTAATCTTGGCAAATGTGTGTATAGAAATTAGTAAATCGATATTTGGTGCCACACAGATGCAGGTAACTCAACATTGAGCTTCAGAAAGAGGAAGAATTAAAAAGTTCTACAACCTTGGGTATGTATGTGTGTATTGACAATTATTATTTCAAGATTGATTTGATTTCATGTCAACATGTTTATTATTTTTAATGTTGCATGCACATCTCTTTTGATTATGTTTGCTACTGCTATTTTAGCTGTTTGCTTGACTACTGCAGGGATATGAGTTCTGAAGTTTCTTCATTTACTTTATCTGAGGCTGATGTTCTGTTAGAAAGCGGTGAAGCAATTTTGGTGAGCTTATGATGTGTTTGTGTTTGAATTCTGCATGTCATTGATATGCAATCTCATTCTTAATTTCAGTGTAATTTGGTGTGCAAGTTAGTTAGTGCACATTTTTATTTGATTTGTGAATTCATATGAAGGGATGTGACCGCTAGCAAATCAGCTAATTGCATGCAGTGCTGACGATTTTTGAACCATCTTTGTAGCTCCAAAATGTTTCAGTTTATGCTCCTACCTAGTTTGAAAAGCTAATTAAGATGAAGATGATTTTCTTTGGGATAGAGTTTTTATTTTATGCTTCTTTATGTGTCTTCAGTTTCAAAAAGTTCCAGAATACTTATTTTTTCTTCATTTTTAGAGATTGTTTGTGCACATGCTTATACATGTATGTATGTTTTATTGATGAGCATGATTCTTTTCCTTGACACCATGTTTTTTAGTTTTGGAACATTTTGTTTTCACTTTTCATGCCTACAAAAACACTTAATGTTTTCAATTTTATTTACTTTTAGGTACTGAGGGTAATTGTGGAAAGAGGATTAGTATATATTCAGGGAGAGTAGTATTATCAAGCACCTGGACTTTTGTTGATAAAATAGTGGAGGCTCCTGGCTCCTCGAAACGCCAGGGTTTATGTTCAGCTTTATTCTATTTTGCATTTGCTTCAGTTTTATTCAAGTATTTGACTAATACAAATATTGTTGGAATTGCCCTTGCTGTTTCTGATATATTTTTGGTTGTGGATTGGTTGTATGTTGGTCTATTTTGTGTGAGAATTACTGTTGGTTGGTTGTCAATTGATTAATCTGCAGGTGTTCGTATCAGCTTGTAACTATACTTTTTGTTACAGTTAAGAAATAAACTAAAGCAATGATTTCTGCTCCATTTTTAGAGCAACCCAGAGTTTTTTTTTTTTCCCCTTTTAATTTTTATTTTTGGTAAGAAACATGAAACCAATTTATTGACTAGAAGCAATGATTATTTGTTCTTTTGTTTGCTTGAATGAATATTTTAAGTGGTTTAAATGAAGACTCTTAGTTAAATTTATTGTTGCTTTTCAAACATTTTAGGCTAGTGTTAGAGAAAGTTTGTGGAGTTCGTTAGAGGAGGACATTATTCCATCACTGTCTACTGGTAGGAGTAACTGGCTGGAGCTACAGTCAAAGCTTATCTCTAAGCAATACAAAGAATCAAACATTTGTGTGGCAGGAGGTATGCAGGTGACGGTATTTTAAATGAAGTTATATATTTTTTTACCTTTTATTCTTAAACCATTATCATCCAATTTTGGTATAATGGTTGTCCATTTTTCTGCTTGAAAGTCTCTTCAGATTGGAGCTTCTGGATTGATTTATAATTATTTACTGTTACACCGGAGCTTGAAGTTATATGAACTTATGTTGTCTTTTTCACCAAAACCTTTGACCAACTTTTTGTTGCTCTTGAAATATTCTGCTCAAAATTTTATTCTACCTTTTATTTTATTATAGTGGAACTGGGGGATATCTAGGCTTGGTGAACTAGTAACGGATGGCTAAAATGCCTAAATTTCCTCTTCTTTTAATTGTGATTTCCCTTTTTAGCCCTAAATCAATTTATTTAAATTTAAATTATTTTATAATTCAATAATTATTTTACTAAAATATTAAGGGATTAAATATTTTAAAATTTTAAGAAATTTCAAAAACTCAAAAATCTTCAAACCAGTCAATGCTAATCAAATTCACCAGATGGTGAATTTCTGTCACGCAGCTAGCATCACCACCAGCGCGAGCGCTCAGCAGTTGACGATCTGCCAATCCAGGCAGATTCCGGCTGTCAATCTAGGCATATTCTGGCCGTTGAAAACCGGGGTCGTAACGTCATGGTGCCGGTTTTCTGCTGTCAGGATTTGCCCAGATCGTCAGCCGTTCATTTTGCATGCGCTGGCAGTGACGCTGAAAGCGTGGGGCAAATTCTTCAGCTGGCGTGTTTGACCGGCGTTGACCGGTCTGAAATTTTTTAAATTTAAAAATTTTTGAATTTTGAAATTCCATATTTAAATAAAAAATAAATATTTTATTTATAAATAAAATATTTTCTTTTCCTGAGAATTAATGTTAGACTTAGAAATTATGTTACAAATTCTTATACAAAAACTGACATGGTATAAATTAATGGAAGAGTGAATACTAAATGTCAATTCAATTAATGTTCAATAAATGATGTGTTGATAGAAGAGTAATGTTACATCAGTTTGTATATAATTTATTATATACATAGTTTTTATATGCAGTACTATCTTTCTTGAAATGAGCAATAATTTCTTTTCTTTTTTTTAAAATGCCTGCCGAAGGCATAATATTTGAATTACTAATCAAAATCTAAAGGATCAAAAATTATAGGAAAGTAGCGATCATACTACATTCTGGCTTAAATTCAACATCTATCTGCTGCCCAGGGCTTAGGGAAGTGCAAGTTTGCTTTGAAGATTTAGTCTTAGGAATTTCATCTGCTAGGTTATACATGTTTTGAAAGAAGATAAGATAAACTGCGAGTTTATGTATTTTTAGTCTTAATATCAATGATGATCTCCTGGTTCTTAGGTGGTTGGGAGACTGATAGAACACCACCTCTGTAACTTACGCACTCAAGCAACACAGTTCTATCTTTCAAACTAAAGCAAACCAAACCAGTAATCAAAACACGATTCAAATGAAACTTGTATATTGATAAAAAAGATTAGAGAGAAACACTTTGGCTAATGTAAATCTACTACCTATCCGACCAAAATAAAACTCAAGATAAAATGAAAGACATAAGAAAAATTAAAGAAACAGCTAAACGTCGAGGGCCAGCATCCTCCCTTTCCCTTTTTCCTTACCTTTCTGAATATCCCCTATTTTGACATTCTCCCCTTTTTAAATCCTCCGGCACTACCTCATAACAGAATTCCTTACGGTCCCTATATAATCTGTCCTCTACTATTCTTTCACACTTCACGCACCCACTTGTAATTCTCTATTTCGCACCCTTACCTTTCCTATTGTAGACCAGCACCTCATAGTCATGGGTTCTATCAGAGACTTTCTAAGTTACTGTTATATTGAAATAATTAGTAATTCTTGTGTCTTTTTTAATTTGTTTTCTTTATCCCTTTGCAGAACCAGTAAAAGTAAATATTGAATTCAAGAATCCTTTGCAAATCCCTATTTCCCTCTCAAGTGTTACTTTGATATGCGAGCTTTCTCCAAGATCTGATGAAACGAATATGGGTAAAATACTTTCAATTTCTCTCTTTTCTTTTTCCAATTTAATCTTGGCAAATGTGTGTATAGAAATTAGTAAATCGATATTTTGGTGCCACACAGATGCAGGTAACTCAACCATTGAGCTTCAGAAAGAGGAAGAATTAAAAAGTTCTACAACCATGGGGTATGTATGTGTGTATTGACAATTATTATTTCAAGATTGATTTGATTTCATGTCAACATGTTTATTATTTTTAATGTTGCATGCACATCTCTTTTGATTATGTTTGCTACTGCTATTTTAGCTGTTTGCTTGACTACTGCAGGGATATGAGTTCTGAAGTTTCTTCATTTACTTTATCTGAGGCTGATGTTCTGTTAGAAAGCGGTGAAGCAATTTTGGTGAGCTTATGATGTGTTTGTGTTTGAATTCTGCATGTCATTGATATGCAATCTCATTCTTAAATTTCAGTGTAATTTGGTGTGCAAGGTAGTTAGTGCACATTTTTATTTGATTTGTGAATTCATATGAAGAGGGATGTGACCGCTAGCAAATCAGCTAATTGCATGCAGTGCTGACGATTTTTGAACCATCTTTGTAGCTCCAAAATGTTTCAGTTTATGCTCCTACCTAGTTTGAAAGAAGCTAATTAAGATGAAGATGATTTTCTTTGGGATAGAGTTTTTATTTTATGCTTCTTTATGGTCTTCAGTTTCAAAAAAGTTCCAGATTACTTATTTTTTCTTCATTTTTAGAGATTGTTTGTGCACATGCTTGTACATGTATGTATGTTTGTATTGATGAGCATGATTCTTTTCCTTGACACCATGTTTTTTAGTTTTGGAACATTTTGTTCTTCACTTTTCATGCCTACAAAAACACTTAATGTTTTCAATTTTATTTACTTTTAGGTACAACTAACTGTTACTCCCAAGGTTGAAGGCATTTTGAAAATTGTTGGCGTTAGATGGAAACTATCAGGTTCTGTAGTTGGTCTGTATAACTTCGAGACTAATGTTGTCAAGAAGAGAATTGCAAAGGGAAGACGGGGAGCAAAGTCTTCTCCTAGCAATGACTTGAAGTTTCTGGTTATCGAGGTGCACACTCTTCCCTCTCCTCCCTTTATCTTTTCTGAAATTTG